TATAACATATTATAAATATAAAAGTAGTCATGTGTTATTAATATTAAAAATTAGATTATTTATTATAAGTTTGATTGATGGTTAAATTTTATTTCATTTCTTATGATTTTATAATCAATTTTTATTAATTGTACAATAAAAAATATAAATACTTAATTTTTAAATATAATATTATTAAATTGACTATACAAGATAAATAATTATATCTCATCATTTATTCCAAAAATATTATAATTTTTTTTTAGTTTTTTTATTGTCGAACTTAGTTAATAAATTGTGTGCTACATTATAATTAATAGTGAAATTCTTTTATTTTATTTTTAATATGAAATGAGATAGATCGAGTAAAGTCCGAATTTAAGAACCCGGGTTACCCGTTTACCCGACGAAAACCCACTAACCCACCGGGTAAAACCCAACCCGAACCCGAAGATCACTAACCGGGTAACGGGTCATGTTTGAGTAGGATAAATTACATGCGGTTCGGGTTCGGGTTTGCCAAAACCCGTACCCGACCCGACCCATTTACATCCCTAAATATAATGGCTAAAAATAAATTTTTGGTGGATAATTTAAGATATCAAGCTCATTAACCAAACACTATAGTGGGATAGTTTAAGATATCAAGCTAACCAAACACTCCCAAACAACCCTTTTCATATAAATATATTCAACGAGACATCAGCCCCGCAGCCCATTCCGCTCGAACCGCCGATATTCCTGTGTCTTCTTCACACTCACCCTTTCCCATCCTGTTCGCACTCAACAACAATCTTTATATCAATCTCTATCCATTGCTTGAGCCTGTGCCCGTGCCTGTACCAAATGGCCTCTCTAACGCACGTCTCACCATCCCAACTCATTTCCAAGGGCGGTGAATTTGGGGTTGTGAGAAATCCTCATGTGGCTCGCTTTGTGCGGCTCCCGCTCTCCCTGCAGAAGGCGCGGAGGATGACGGCGGTGGTCTCAGCCGTCACGGCCGGGGAGAAGGCCAAGAAGAGGTATCCCGGCGAGGGTAAAGGTTTTGTGGAGGAGATGAGGTTTGTGGCCATGAAACTCCACACGAAGGACCAGGCAAAGGAAGGGGAGAAGGAGCCTCAGGGCAAGCCGGTCGCTAAGTGGGAGCCTTCTGTTGAAGGCTACTTGAAGTTCTTGGTTGATAGCAAATTGGTTTATGATACTCTTGAGAGGATTGTTGATACGGCTGCCTTCCCCGAATGTGAGCCCAATTTTATTTGTTTGTCTATTTTTAGTGTCTTCAGAATCTTGAATTTGTAGTTAAATTCCGAATTAGCTCCAAATTATGCAACTTGTTTTGTTAGTCCCTTAATGTGGTTTTGAGTGTAGTCTGTTGTGTTGTGGTTATTTTATTGAGAGTCGTAAGGATATCAGAAGAGAAGGTGCAAATGAGCTTCTTTTGGATGGTGCAGATGCTGAATTTAGGAACACGGGGCTAGAGAGATCGGAAAGTCTTGCAAAAGATCTTGAATGGTTTAAGCAGCAGGGACATACGGTTCCAGAACCGTCTTCTCCCGGAATTAAATACAGTCAGTACCTCGAGGAGCTGTCTCAGAAAGATCCTCAATCGTTCATATGCCATTTCTACAATACGTATTTTGCCCACACGGCTGGTGGCAGGATGATAGGGAGAAAGGTGAGTGTTGGTAATCTTGATTATATGCTTAGTTCGGCTTGCTTTAGGGTTGTTATACCTGAAAAAAATTGCTTCATGTCATAATTTTTAAGTAGAGGTACTCAGATGAAAATGTTTGGTAGCGTTGGATACAAATGTTAGTTGAATGCATGAAAATTGTATAAATAGAGAGAAAAAAAACTGATAAGGGCTATATTAGTGCATATTACGATAGTTTGGACAATTGACACAGGCATAAGTTTTTGAATGAAACATTAACAATTGAAATCAGAATATATGAAAAGGAATGAGAAAACAGTGTATCATTGTCGCATTAACATTATAAAACCTTGAATTTAGATATCTCAATGATTTTATATGATGTGCATAATATCTAACCCATTTTTCTTTCTGGAAAAAATAAAAGATCAACTCGACAACAAAAAACAGTATAACGTGAAACATATTGGCATTTGACGTAAAAACAATATGCTTTGTTTGCATATTTTGTTGTGATTCAGTTGTTGGAAACTTGAATTTAGATGAAAAATTCCAAAGTTGAAGTACTACGTAAGATTTTTTTTTTTTTTTTCTATTTTATTCTTTTACTTGATCTTATTATCTAGAGTGTGCTTGGTTTATATGAAAACATCAAAAAATTGTTAAACCTCGAAAATTAAACTTTGATTCTCTCATTTAATAAGCTCTAATATCTTTATACATGGAAGTAAGTATGACATTTTTCTCGTGAGAAGGAAGGGAGAGTAGAATTGTTGATTTACACCCATCTTCAATTGTATAAACAAATTGATTTTTACAGGAACCGTTCGGAAAAAATTGTTTCTTTACAGTGAAAATTATTGCCTCTGCATTTGATAAAGAAAAAACTGTCTTTGTTATTGGAAACTGTGGCCTGATAAAAATTTGGTCGAAATGCTTTTATGTGAGAAATGACTTTATGTTTGGATAAATTATCAGTATAATCTTGTATATAGGTTTCAATATGACACCATATCTGGAAATACATTTAAAATGATTCATGATTTTTATCATACCTAAATTTCCCGTTATAAAACTAAGGATTCGGTGAAAATTAATTTACTCCTATGTTGTACAAAAGGACTTTAGGATTTCACTTTTTTTTTTTTTTTT